ATACAGGAAGGTTTCCCATCCTACCTCAGGCACTATGTACTTTGTGTGTGTGTGTGTTTTCCTTCTGATTTCCTCCCTGTGAAGGGCTGACAGTGGTAGAAATCCTCACCCCACTTCAGTATAGATTTGACCCTAAGCTTAACCAGCTAGTATGTCTTTGAGAAAGTTGATCAACTTCTCCAGTCCTCTACCGCTAATAGCCAATGTCTACCTACCTCACAGTGGTTTCTAAGAATTGTGGACAAGCAGTGACAGCATCCCAGCTTCACAACACCAGAGTGCACATTTACATTGATGCCACACACTCAGGGACCCCTGGGGTAGCACCTGCTTCTGCAGGCCGCCATGCCCTTGAGTCTGGGCTGCAACAATCTGACAAATGTTTTGGAACTGTTGATGAAAACATGTTCAAAATGTGCACAGTGGGAGGGACCTGAAGCACAAGAGTGTTTCTATGGTATCTGTGCTTCCCGTCAATTCTCCCCAGCTTCCTCTCAGCACTCACTGCCCTCCCACCAAACACCTTCCTTCCTGTACCAGGAACCACCACGTTCTAGAGCCTTTTCCTGATTCCAGGTGCTGCTTGCAAAGGCACCGTGGAAAGCCAGGCTCACCCTCCGCCTGTTGGATCCCTTTCCATCCCTCCATTCAATATGGCGTGAATTCCATGCAACATGCCCTTCCTGTGTATAAGAATGATACCGTAGGAACCTTCAAATTTATACTCTGAAACATACTGAGGACTATTTCCAGGTTCAAAAAATGACCTTTTCTCTTTGAGTTCTATCAGCTCTACACTCATGGATGGACATTTTTCTTGCCATTATCTCATCAATACTGTATTTACCTAGTGTTCACACTGTATTAGGTAATATGACATTCCTAGTTATTTGTCTTATTTTATGTATGGGTGTTTCGCTTGCATGTATAGGTGTACACTATGTTCATGCAATGCCCTCAGAGACCAGAGACAGCACTGGGTCTCCTGGAACTGGAGTTATAGATGGCTGTGAGCCACCATGTGCATGTGCCGGGAACCAAACCCAGGTTTGGTTCAATTTCAATCACTCCAACTCCCAAGATAATATCATTTTCAAAAGAGAAAAGCAACAAAGAAAACATAAGCAAGACAAGAGGCAGAGGCTGTTCCATTAAAGGCTTTCCTTCTTCGTGCATGAGGCAGTGAGGAGATTGAGCAAGTTCCTAATCGACTTGTCAGGAGACTGTTTATATTTAATAATATCATAAGAATATACATGTTGAAAACTGTAAATTTTATTCAGGAAAGAAATATTTTGAAAGCACATGAGACCTCGTGTGTCTGCCACTCAAACAGAAAGTCACGAGGAAATGGCAGGAGCAAGAGAGAGCCTGAAGGTTTAACAGCTCACAGCCTCGTGACATCTAACCTCCATGAGCTAGAACTGCAGGGCCTTAAACCCATCCAGCCCACACTACGTCTGTCACTGCCCAGTGAGTAAAGTCCATACAAGACTGGAGAGGTAAACTTGGAGTTGGCAGTTGCAAAAAAAAAAAAAGAGAAGCATTGATTTACTTGTTTTGACTCTTACTCAAAAGCAACCACCACCAAAATAAAGTCACCTGGCAAAAACTGGAGTGAAGGAGGAGGAGGACTGAACTTGGAAAATGAGGCTATGGTGAGCCGTGTTTACTCACCGACCATCTGCAGGGCTGTCACAGCGAGGGTGGGATGCTGAGTGCCAAACTGATGCTGCATGGGCTTCATTTTAACATTTGCAAACTAGAGAGCTGCTCTCAGCAACAGAAAGCAGTAACAGATTGTTCTGCCTGAGACGAACCTTTCCCCTACTTTTCCCTCTGCAACTTGCTGGACATGTTTGTTGTTTCTTCTACACTTGAAAATGACATCTGGGAAACAGTCGTTATGTTCTCAATATTTAATGTAGAGTTAATACTGGATTCATTAAAATGTGCTCCAGGCAGCCCTACTTATCTCCACTAACAATAGTCTCCCGGCTGCTGTCTGATTCGCGGAGAGGGGGAGCAAACAGGCACTTGGTGTATTGTTGATACAGAAAAAAAGTGAAGACAGGGAACTGGGGGGAGCCTAGGAGCCCCCTCCACTCCCAATCTTCACCAATCTGGCACCAGCCCTGTCTCCTCCTCAAACCTCTCCCTTTCCTTCGAGTGCTCTGAACTCCATCCCCACGGCTTTGCTTCCTGGAAATGTGGAGGCTGTGTGGGAAGGATGTCAGGAACATGTCTACCAGATCACCATGAAAGACTTCTAGGAAGACTTGAGAAACAGACATTCCAACATGGGGGTTGTGAGCTGACAGCGGCAGCCTCCTGAGGAGAAGGATGACGTCAAGAAGAACTCTACGAAGAGAATGACTCATGGAGTCACTGTGAAATAAGTGGTTATAACCACCTTCTTTCTAAGAGAGTTACTCCGAGGATTGTTGCTGGCATGGTGATGAGAACTGACATGGGTGTCCACGACCTTTTCCGAAGAAAAGTAAAATGATTGTGATGATGAATATAGTCTCTACAAGTCATGCTTTAAAAATGTCATTGTAACTATTACTTCATTTGTTCTTTGAAGCATCTTGAGAAGCAGACAGTTTTATTTCCATTTTAGACAGAAGACAAACAATAAAAGGGAAATGGTGAGCTTCTCCAGCAGGCAAGTCAGAACTTGCACACAGACGTCGTCTCCACCTTCTCAGCCACTGTCTGTAACTTGAGTTCTGATCATTACCTCATTGGCTTGTTGTGAAATAAGTAATTAAAACAATGCCTCGACTTAATGGACATATGCACCATGGGCTCTTACTATAATAGAATTATTAAAAACTGTTCTCTAGGGATAACTTAATTTGGGATAGACTACCCCAAAACAAGCTGCCAAGGCAAGTAGCATTAACATTAAAGCTAAAGTCTAAGCTCTTCTCAGTATCAAAAGAGAAGCTACGTGGAGAAAGAAACATGTATGGATTTTGGTCTTCCATCCCCATGATAATAAAAATTGAAGATGTCAGTGTAGTTACAAGTCTGTTCAGAGTAGACTATTAACATTTGAACTAGAGAAAGGCTGGCGTGAACACATGCTGCAGTAAATTACTGACACAATAAGCTTAGATTCAGGCCCACAATGAAACCATCTGAAGCGACCGGAAATGATGGGCAAATCTCCACATTGTTTTCATGCCTATCCAGGATGTTGTTTGAGGTGAACAAAGCAAGATGGACGAGAACGTAAGTGAATAAGACAACTCATTCAAGAGGAAGGCCAGTAAACACACACACACACACACACACACACACACACACACACACACACACACACACGTTTACCATATTAGGAAATCAATACAAATACAAATATATTACATCGAGATAAAGTAGAAAAATTAATTTATGTGAGAAATTAGAAAATACTAATACATGTAAGATGTAAAACTTCTCAAAGAATAGGAATTCAGAAGACTGTGTTCAGCTTGATAAATATGATCTGAAATCCTTCCGGCTCACATTGTCCCTGGTAGTGAAGACCGCCTGCTGTCCCTGTGAATAGGAGACAGGACATGGGGTTCCTAGCTCTCCATTCTTCCATCCAGTGCTGGATGCTCTGCAGTGGAGTAAGGGAAAAGAAGAAAGAGCAAACAGACTGGAAAGAAATGAATGGAAACCTTCCTATTCTCACATGGTATGAATTATACCCAGAAAACACATCCCTTACAGTTGCCAAAAATACTTCTAGAGTAACAAAAGTCTTCATCATGGTTACAGTATACAAAATAAACATACAAAGTCTGTACTTCTGCACCAAATACATGGAAATCAAAATGAAAAATATGCCACCTTTTATAAATACTCACAAAACAAACAATTAATTAATAGAATATGCACAAAGTTTGTGGCTAAAAAGTTAAAAATGCCAATGAAAGAAACACAAGACCAAATTCAATAAGAGCTGCACCCATTTCCTGGATTGGAAGATTCCTTGGCAGTAAAATTTCCAATTATTCCTAAATTTGATGTGTGGGTCTAGTAGCATCCCTGTGAAAAAGATCACAAGAATAGTTATAAAAGGAAGCACTGACAATCTGGAAAAGTAAAAAGCTGTACAGCTAAAATAATTTTGAAAAAGAGGAATAAAAAGAAAATCTGGCTGCTTTTAAGTTATATGTAGTTGATAGTAGCTAAGAGCCTGTGGTGTTGGCACAGAAATAAACACCTACATCAATGGAGTCGAAGAAGCAGCTCATAAACACACCCGAGGATCTGCCCAAACTTTGACAAAGATTCCAAAGCAATTCAACAGGGGAAAGACCGCCTTCCACAAATGATACTGGAGAAGGAAAGGGCAGCTGACAAGAGCCTCACATCTTACTAAAGAAGCCTTAAATGTAAAATGTAAACTATAAAACTGTCAAAAATCGCCGGGCGGTGGTGGCACACGCCTTTAATCCCTGCACTTGGGAGGCAGAGGCAGGCACATCTCTGTGAGTCTGAGGCTACAGAGTGAGTTCCAGGAAAGGCTCCAAAGCTACACAGAGAAAGTCTGTCTCAAAACAAACAAACAAACAAACAAAACCTGTCAAAAATGAAGAGGCTAGTGAGATGGCTCAGTGGCAGGAGCACTTGTTGCTGTTGCAGACGACCCGGGTTCAGTTCCCAACACCCTCATGGTGACTCGAAACCATCTGTAACTCTAGTTCCAGGGGAGCTGTTGCCCTCTTCGGACCTTTGCAGGTCCCAGGCACCCATATCACACACATGCATACACCCAGGCAAAACACTCACACACACAGAAATGAAAAACTAAACGGTCAAAAGAGTATGGGAAGTACAGAGAAACGGAGCGATCTTACATTGCATAAGGAAATACTCAACAGAAAAGCTACTCTGGAAAACCATTTCTGGTTGTTTGCATTAAACACATACAACCCACTAATTGTCCTTGTAGACATTTGTCCAGAGAAATTATACACATGAAATATTTTAATGCGGATTTTCACGGCACCTTTGCTGATAATAGCCAAAAAATTGGAAACAGCTCAGGTTCCCTTCAGTGAGTGACAGGTAAAGGCGTGCTGCATTGAGCCTGTGCCTTGGAACAACCTCAGCAATAAGGAAACTTCCAGCAACACCTGACAGTCTGGGTTCAGCTATGAAAAGTTACACCAGCTTCCTACTCGTGTGGTCTTTGTGACTTCCACCATGGCGTACCGCGGCCAGGGCCAGAAGGTGCAGGAGGTGATGATGCAGCCCATCAACCTCATCTTCAGATACTTGCAAAATAGGTCTCGGATTCAGGTCTGGCTGTATGAGCAAGTGAATTTTCGGATAGAGGGTTGTATTATTGGCTTTGATGAGTACATGAGCCTCGTATTAAATGATGCAGAAGAAATTCACTCTAAAACAAAGTCAAGGAAACACCTAGGTCGGATCATGCTGAAAGGAGACAATATTACTCTGCTCCAGAGTGTTTCCAACTAGAAACTGGCAAGCACTCGAGAAGTTGAAGAGGTTGAAGAGGACATGTAGTGTTTTTAAAGGTGTCTGCTGCTGGGAGCACAGTACGAGATTTACTCATATTGTTTTAGTGGCCCTTATGTTATTATCAGGTGACAATAAATGCTGTGAGGATGTTTTTATTAAAAAAAAAAAAAAAGAAAAGAAAAGTTACACCAAAGGGAAAGGACCAGTCATAACATGTTGCATGCAGTATGACGGCCATATGTAATATTCCTTTTAAAAATAAGATTTTATTAATTCTTTGAAAACTTCACATAATGTATTTGCTCATATTCACCCTAAACACCTCCCATGTAAGCTCTCAGCTCTTATCCTCCCCACCTTTGTATCCTACTTCTTGTTTTTAGCTTAATAACCCAAGAACTTCAGTTTGTGTTGTCTGTTTAATCCTGAGTGAGACATCCAGTGAAGTGTGCCTGAGCTACCAGGAAGTGTACCATTGAAGGAGAGTGACTCCCCTTTCCAGAAGCCGTCCGCTGTCTATAGCTTCTCAGTTAGGGGTGGGAGCTCACAACTCCCTTCCTGCTCCTTGCCAAAATTTTGATTGGCTTGATCATGTGTTGTTCTGGTGTGAAACCACACCTCCGGTGTGTCTATGGGTGCTTTGGTACTGCCGTGTCCAGAAGACACTGTTCTCTCCCGTATTCCCCAACCTCGGGCTCATACTGCCTTATTACCCTTCTTTTATGATTGCCCCTAAGCTTGGAGAGAGAGTGTGCTATGGATGCCCCGTTTGTGGCTGAGCACTCCACCGTCACTTATTCTCTGTACTTTGACCGGTTCTGAATTCTTACACTAACTGCCATCCACTGCACAAATAAACTGCTCTGATAAGGTCTGAGAGCTACTCTAACCAATGTGTGGAAAGATACAGAATTAGAGTGCAGCTTAGGGCCATGTCCATTTAACACAGTAAGAATAGTAGACTAGCCACAGGGGCTGATGATCTTCCCAACCCTGGGTTCTAGCCCAGATTTTCAGTACCAGACATGGTTTCTCCCAATAAAAGCAGCCTTAAATCCAATCAGAAATCATTAGTTATCCCCATGACATTCATGCCACGACTATACCTGTGTTCTTATCTTGTCACAATAGTCACACCTTTTTGCAGCACAGAGTTCAAAGCTGGATAAAGACGGTAGATGACTTCCCGCTCAGCAGCCTGCAGAGCATGTTCCAGTACTATGAAAACCAGCCAACAGGGAGGAAGCTTCCTGGTCAGTGCTGACCTGATTTCTCCATGTCCTGTGACTAATGTGTGTGATGTCTTCAGCAACAGGATCTTACCATCATGTTCTGGTATACATTCAAGAGTAATGGCATTATCCTGCATTGTTTAGGGGGTCTCTGAAACACCTCTGATCAACAACGTGAAGAACAGTGTCACCACACTTGGCATAGGCTTTTTATTTGGCAACCTAGGTCTTATGTGATGAGCATAATAATCCCCTGGGTAGGGTAACTCCAATAAACTCTTTTATATGTATGTAATTATATACATATTACTAAGTTGTCATGTGGCTTTTTCAAACATCCTTAGTTATCCTGCCCTCAACAAAACACTGACCCCCCCATCCCTTTTCCCACTTAAACTCTCCCTTCCCACTGTCCCCTTTCTCCTTCATGTCACCTGTGTTCTATACCCTCTATCTCTTTAAGACTTCTCTTCCTCCTTCCCACCAATGGGCCCTTCCTAGTTTTCTGGGATCCACAAGTACTCCAAATCAAACACATAAATATAAAGACTCGACACTAAGATCCACATGTGAGTGAGAACGTGTGACATTTGTTTTTCTGCATATATGTTATCCTATTCGGTATATTTTCCAGCTCCATCTATTTACCTATAATTTTCATATTTTTACTTTTCTTTACAGCTCAATAAAATCCCATGGTATATAGATACCACATTTTCACTATCTGTTAGTCAGTTGATGGACATCTAGGCTGTCTCCATGCTTAGCTATTGTGAATAGAGCAGCTTTGCTGAACATGGAACTAGTAGGAAATGGAGTTATTTTGATATCTGTACAGGAATAGAATAGCTGGGTCATATAGTAGATCTATTTCTAGGGTTGGTTTGCTTGTTTGTTTGTTTGTTGGAATTGCCACACTGAGGTCTCTACTGGCTTCACTAATGTGCACTCTCACCAACCATGCATGCGTTTCCCCATTCCACACGCCCTTGTGCACTCTCACCAACCCTGCATGCGTTTTCCCATTCCACACACCCTTGTTATCATTTTTCAGATGTTAGAACAGCTACTCCTGGTTGGTCTTGTTTGCTTAAAATAACTTTTTTATCCTCTTTCTCTAAGGCAGTATCTGTCTTTGATAGCGATATGTATTTCTTAGAAGAAACAAAAAGATGGATCCTGTTTCCTAATCCAAACTGCTTGTCTGCATCTCTTGGTCAAGGAATCGTATTAAGAGTAATTATTGAACAATGTGAGTTCATTTCTGCCTTTTTTGCTTTGTGGTTTATTCTTAGACCTCTTTTGATGAACTCTCCTGAATAATCTGTTTATTCTTTGTGACCTCTTGGATGTGTTTATCTTTGATCTCTTTGTCTTCAGACTGAAATGTCCCTTCCAGTAACCTCTCTAGAGCTGGCTTAGTTGTCATAAATTCATTTAATCTGTTTTTGTCATAGTACATTTTACTTCTTCAAATTTCATAGATAGTTTTTCAGGTATAATATTCTAGGTTAACTAATGTTGTCTCTCAGAACTTGCAATACATTTTCCCAGGCCCTTCTGACTTTAAAAGTTTCTGCCAAATAATCAGGTATTCTTCTGATGAGCCTACATTTACGTGACTTTTCTATCTATCTATCTATCTATCTATCTATCTATCTATCTATCTATCTATCTATCTATCTATCTCTTAGCTTTTAATATTTTCCCCTTATTCTGTGGCCAAAATGTAAAGATTAAATCTTTTCCTAGTGTTCTGGAGCTCTCCCACTTTCTGTTCATATTTCTTTTTAAATTTATTTTTTACTTTTACTGAGAGATGAGCTAATTCCACTACCTTGTTTTTCACTCCAGATTCTGATTTTCCCTCATCCATCATATTGGTGAGGCTCCACTGAGGGATTTTGCTTTCTGTTTTGGCTGACTGCATTTTTTCTTTCCCACATCACTTGTTTGGACTTTCTTCAGCAATTCTATCTCTACCTTTATCTCTTTAACTGACTTCCTCATTTCATTCATCTCTTTGCTTTGTTCTTTTGGAGTATATTCATGTCTTCTTTAATTTTTTTTTAATCATTCTTTTGAATTCTTCTTCTGGTAGTTCTTCCAACTCATTTTCATTCGTTGTTATTGCTTTGGGAGTAGTGATTCGTGGAGTAGACATGTTGTCTTGGTTTTTCATGCTATTTCTCTTTCTGCCCTGGAACTTGTATACTTTCTTTCTTTCTTTCTTTCTTTCTTTCTTTCTTTCTTTCTTTCTTCCTCTCTTTCTTCCTTTCTTCCTTCCTTTCTTTTGTATTTTTTACTTTTAAAATTCCAATCACCTATTTTTCTTTCACTGGTAACAGTTTGAAGTTCAGTGGAGGACTAAGTCCTAGGAGGGCTGAGGTGTCCTTCCCACTGTGGTATTTAGGACAAGGCTCTCTAGCAGAAGTCTTCCTCTGAAGGTCAAGTATTGTCCTGTGTCAGATAGGGGCTCCTTCTTGGGTCTAAAGCTTTTCTTTCTTTTCTAGATCCCTATGGGCCTTACCCAGAATCAGCCTTGGTTCTCCCAAGGTTTCTAAGCTGCTGCTGTTGCTGCTGGGGATGTTCCTGGTTACCTGTGGGCCTAACAGTGTTGAATCTTGTTCCTACCCTGTATCTGAAGCTCCCAATGAAGCAAGATGTGAAACTCCCCAAGTACCAATAGGCCTTACCTCAGTTCAGGACTGGCCTGCTCCCTGGTCTTCAGCAAGGGATGAAACTTCTGGAAGATGTGGAACTTTATGAGCATCTGTGGGTCTAACCTAGAGTTGAATTTTGTGTTATTCTTGAAAGGCATGTCTAGGCATGGAGAGCAATGATTCCATAAATTAAGCAGAGCACAAGGAAAATCTAAAAGGACAATTCAAACAATGCTTTTGGTGACAGAAATACTCCATATAAATGCCAGCATCCTGGTTGTGCTGTTACAGTGAGCTGGGATGTATCTTACATATTGTGTTATAAAGTGCATTACAACACTGTACTTTGTGTAGCATGCTACATTGTATTCTGGCTGGAATTTGCAAACTGTTACCTTTGGTGAATCCTGAATAAAAGATACATGGGATCTTTCTGCATAATTTTTTATAATAATTCAAATGTTCACTAACAAATTAATGAATATCAAGTAGATTAAGAGTGAATAAATAAATTATATATCTATTTATATACACACAATACATGTATTACATGTACATGCACTGGAGCATTTCTCAACCTTAAAAATTAATAAAATCTGATACATGCTACAGTATGCATAGACATTGAAGACACTGCAAAATGAAATAAGCTATATGCAAAAGAATCAGTAAGAGGTACTTGGAGTACTCATGTGTTTAGAGATGAAAAGTAGACTCATGCAAAGTTGTTTGGTGGAAGGTGGGTGTTTCATTTTCTATCGCCGTAATAAAATACTCCCACAAAAGCAACCGAGGGGGAAAGAGTCTGTTGACCCACAGTTCCGGGCTACAGTTCATCATTCTGGGAAAGCCCAAGCATCAGGAGCGTGAAGCAGCTGGTCATGTGACATCCACAGTCAAGAGCAGAGAACAATGAACCAATTCACGGATGCTCAGCTACCTTGCCCTTTTCATTCAGTCTAGGAACCAGCCCATGAAATGGGTCTTCCCACTTCAATCAACCCAATTGAGAAAATCCCCCCCCAGGCATGCCCATGGGCCAACCTAATATAGATAATTTTTTATTGAGACTCAATTCCCAGGTGATTCTAGAGCATGTCAAATGAACAAATAAGACTATTAATAGATACAGAGCTTCATTGCAGAATGATAAAAAAAATTCTATGATAGTAGTGATAGTTGTAAAGGTCTGAGGATAGAAGTAATGTTAATGAATGATACTATTAAAGTGATATCATATATATTCCACATATAATATATATTACTACATTATAAAAACAATCCCCCTCCCCAACAAAGCAGACCAGCATCATAAAGACTTGAAGATCACAATTTGGAGAGAAAGAGAACATGATGGGGAACAGGGAAGCAAATTGACTTTGTAAAGACCTTTTACATAATTACAACACAATGAAATTCAAGATGTAAAATCTCTATGAAACGAAAGATCATTGACAGAAATATGTCAAACTTTACTGCTTGTGGCATAAATATACAGTAGGAAAAGACTGCAAAAAATTTACAAAAATGTAAAGCCTTTCATCCGCATAGTGAGGCTGTTCTGAGGCTACCATTTGCATGAGGCAAAGGCAAAGCAAGTGAGGGGTGTTTTTTTTTTGTTTTTTGGGTTTTTTTGTTTGTTTGTTTGTTTTGTTTTATTTTGTTGGGTTTTTGTTTGTTTATTTATTTGTTTGTTTGTTTGTTTGTTTGTTTTGGAGTTCCTGGGAACGGGGACTTTTACCATGAGAGAATAATAAATTAAATATATCAGTAATAGGGAAAGGTAGCAATTCTGTAATCCCCAAACTGTGAGTTCTGGAAAAGACCACACAGACTCCTTTCTAAGCAGAACAAAAAGTCTTGCAAATAATTCATGGTGTAAGCAAACCACCTCTGTAAAGCAGAAGGCAGGACGTGCATTATAGACGGGATTTACACCGCACTGTGCAGTCAGGGTCTGTGCTTTACCTTATACCTTAGACTGAGCACCACGGAGTCCGGCAACCGCAGCTGCGACGCGTAAAGAGGGAAAAGCAGGGGAAGCCTGCCCTCTCAGGCCACAGGACAGACAATAGATGCCAAGCAGGGTCAGGCTGAGTCTCTGCTCCATGCTCAGCCATGGCTCCTGAGCCTGGTGAGCCAGTCAAGAACCATCAGAAAGTCCAGGCAGTGTCGTGGAAAGGGAACATGGAAACTAAGGTACCAGATTCCTGACTCACATGCCAAGGGAGCCAGTAAGCTGTTTACCTTGAGCTTTAGATTTAGAGACTTTTGTCAGAGTTAATGGCTTTCCTGGGGCCACTACAGCTGTTCCAGTGGCTCAAGAACTAACCACTGGAGGTATACGCTCTTGTTTTCCTCTAGGGAGCACCAACGGTGTTCGCTAATGTTGACATTTTGCCTACAACCCTTGACTTATTATTCCTTAAATGACATCCAGAGGCTAGGACTGATCCATTTCTAAGACACTGCATGACACCCCTGCCCACGGGGCATGAGGTCAGCAGTACTCAGGGGCTGCCTATGTGTGTGCCGCTACTGACCTGTTCTCTCTAGTGGCTTCAGAGCCACTGTTCACCCCACACATGATGCTGCCACTGACTGAGACTTGGAAGGACCCTCTGAGGGAGGTCCACTGTG